TATTCCATTTGTGCGGCTCCTTTTCCCTCCCTCTAATGGCAAACATATCTCCATCACCACTTGACCCCTGCTAGAAGAAGAAAAACTAAATGAAAATGCCTCAGAAATTTCAATAAAAATTTTATGTTATAATTATAGGCCAAAGACAGAAGACAGACGACATCGAGGAGGAGGGATGCATAATAAAAATTAACGCCCTCCTCCTCATCCCCTTGGAAAAAGAAAATTCCCGTGTTTGTGTTTGGGTCATAATTTTTCTATTAGACAAATATGAGTAAGAGGGAGAAAGAGGGGGAAGAAACGGAGAGAGAGGCCATGCATGTTCGTCATATGAGAGTGTAATAAATTTTATTAAAAACATATACAAACAAACGCATAAACGAGATCCAAGACCGAGTCAAGGTGGAAGCCAAAAAAAAAACAGGAGGGGAGTGAGAGTTGGCCACACATTTGGCCCATCATACGTGACCGACCGGCGATGGAATTTCGGGGCGCGCCCTCTCTTTCGCTCCCTCTATCCCCATCTCTCTTTTTCGGTGTCCAGCTGAGACAACACACATAAAAACGAAAACAAACAAAAACGATGGAGGTAAGACGACGTCGTTTAAGGAGTTGGCATGCAATCAAAGCTCACGATCTGGGGACTCGGAAAAATTCCCAAAAATAGTTGGCGCTACGCCATATAAACGGGGGAATGAAACTTGAACTTATCAAGTTTAAGCTTAAGTAATTAATTTTTTTGGTTACACCAAACACCATTTATTATTATCCATAAATATTGGTGTTTAATCTGGTAACACTTAATTGACCCCTACACAAAGCTGGTCACTTTAAATATACTTTATGTAGATGTACTTGTATGGCTTGCAAGTAAGGGAAGCCATAAAAACAAATTTTAATGTACTTAAATATTAAAACTCCCTTTGATGGGGCGAGCTGAACCCCCCGAAGAGGAGTTTCCTGTTCCCAAGCGGCGAGCAAAAAAGAAAAAACATAGTTAAGTGTGGCCAAATTAATGGACATCGAATGAAGTTGACCGGCTGTCATAAAGCGTTCATAATTACTTTTCACACCAGGCGGCGGCAAACCGAACGCGTGACTAACGAGTGCGAGGAATCGGATTCGAAATCGGAATCAAAAGAGGGGCAGAGGCAGAGGCGGCGGCGACCAACAAACAAGCCCACAAACAGTCGGCAAAGAACAGAAAAAAACGAAAAATTAAACAAGAAAAATATTACAAATAAACAATCATAAATTTCTATAAATTCTAATTGAAAGAGTTGCGACCGGCGGAAGGCGGGGTGTCGTCTGTTTATAGGCTTAGAGCGTATTGCGCACGACATTTGTTTATTTATGGCGAATGACAATAAAATTTAATAACTTTGACACAATTTAATTAATTTCGATTTTTCAATATGACAAAATAAAAAGGAAACGACATAAAAAAGCACCAGGCGACGGCGACGAGCGGGGCAAACAAACAAAATGGGGAAAGCCAAACAAAAATCAACACAACGTAAAATTTGTATATATGTAGGAATGAATGTTTGAATGTGCGAGGGGCGGGGCATCATCGGTCGAGTCATAAGCAAACATATTTATAAAATATTTTTATTTTTTGTTTTGACGCTCCACCGCCATATGCAAGGAAAATTGAATTAAAATTCAACGAGGGCAATTTACAAAATTAGTTTGGAGGAAAAAAAAGGACCATGGATTTTTTTTCATTAACCAACACTATACGTGAAATGGAAATTCCATCAGAATTCAAATCAAATCGACTAAATTAAGAGCTTTGAGATATCCAAATCAAAAACAAAATTGATTTGTCGTGTTCAAGTTGCGAGTCAATTGCATTTTTTGCTGAGTGCTGGGCTTAATAGAGAACAAATAAAATAGGAATCGAGTTGCTGGCTTTCAGCTAAAATAACAAAAACCTAACTAAATTGGATAAAGTTTAGAAGGATGTCGCTCTTCATTTAAATTCTAGACTGGTTAAAGATGTCAAAGACAGGGCTTACAATTTTAATTTGATTTTCATTTGAGTTTGGTTACATTGAAAGGGTTTTATAAACATCTGGTCACATTGAAAATAAATAGTTTTATAAATATATTTAATCTTAAGCCAGAATTTATTTTATAAATCAAAAATCTCAAAACCCAACCAACAACCCATGCAATTTGAACAAAAATGCATAACGTCCCTCCTCCACCTGTAAATCTCCTGCTCCTCCACCTGAACACCAGTCAAATTGACAGAGTTATTATAGTCTTTATGTGTCCATATATACGGATATGTGCGTATGCTGGCCACCAAAAAACCGCAATTGAAATGCAAAATATTGTCCACATATAAATATTTCAAAAAAAGTCAAAATGCAATGATTGAAAAATGAAAAGGCATAAGGAAAAAATTAATTTTGAATGCTATTCGGCTGGCTGCCCTGCACACAAAAAAAAAACTTGGTAAAATCAACTGTAATAATTGTCGAACAGGCCCCAACCAGCAAAATTGTCAATTCTACTAAGTAAATTGTCATTTCACAACAACAAAATACACACAATTAGCAAAGACACAAACCCAAAGCAAAAACAAAATACACGTAACTATTTTAATAGTTACGTAACTATCTTTGTTGGTCAATTTTACCAAGCAAATTTTTTTGTGTGTGTGTATCCCTGTCTCTCTTCCACCATAGCTTTTTAAATTGTGACAACATAAAATAATTGTTAAAGTCCACAAATAACAATAAACAAGCACATAGCACACACAGCACAGCGGCAGAGAGCAAAAAGCAATTTGCAATGCACCAAAAACCAAAAACCGAGGCCCAACTCCATGGGGGAAAGTCTCTGCTCTCTGCTATAAGTGTGTGAGGTAAATTTATTGATTTCCATATATTTATTTGTGTAAAATGCCATAAATTACAATTATTTAACAGGGCCGGACGGATGAGCCCGGCGGACGGGCCGTAAAGTCAACGGACACTCACTCCTGGAAATCCCCCCTCCTGCTTTTCCTGATTTACCTGCTTTTCCCACCGTGTGCATAGTTGGGTCAGTAGTGCCTTGTTGTTGCCACTGTGCTGTTGCTGTTGCATAATTTGTTAGCCAAATTGCAACTCAACAGGCCAGGTACGTACGTATCGCACTCGTACTACGTAGGCTGATATCGAAAGACCCCGAGACCCGGGCCAACAAACCATACATACATATATGCCGGCAGAGCGGGAGCCCCGGCTCATCAAATATGCAAAATTTTGCAAGTCCTTGCAACAATCGCAATTAAGGATGAGCTGCCAGGCGCGAGGCGACTATAAGGCAAATCACAGATAATGAAAACGGTGACTCTCTCGTCCAGTGAGTGTTAGTTATTGCCACGATTAGTAGCTGTTAATGAAACACAGGCACCTTTGTATAATCCGGAGGTAACTTTTCTATGAAAAACAGAAATGTACGGGGGCCACTGAAATAGCTCGATTTTTTAAATCACTTTTACATATCTAAAAGTATTTAGTGATTAAGGGATAGTCATCTTTCTGAATATATACCTAGTTTGACATTTAAAACCATAAACCATAACTGTCAACTGTAAATACAGTGACTGACATTTAACATTTCAATATTTAATATTTAGTGATGTTTTAAACCTTTAATTAATTTATTAAGGAAAATAGGATTTATTAATATAGTGTTAATATGGCATTTTCTCTAGGAACCAAAAATAAAGAAATATTTAAAATTTCATATTAAAATAAAAATTATTGTATTTAGTTTACTTGCTTTCGAATTGGTCTAGTTGTTTTCTTTTTTGGAAATAAAATATTCAAGTCACAAATCACGACATTGGATTTATCTGTTATTTTTCTCAATCACTGAATTAACACGGAATTCACTTGGCCATCTCCCATCGGCTGAGGAGGCATATAGCATTTGGTCATCCCACCAACCCAGCATTTTCTCCTGCAAACCGAAATCCTGAAACCTGAAAGGTTGCAAGTCCTGGGCCTCCTTCCTCCTCCTCCACCTCCTCATCCCCGTCCATTCAGGCCTCATTCAGTTAGCTTGTCCTGATCAATCGCTTGGTCATTTGTTGGCTTTCTCGTGTACTCTCTGTTTGGACTATTATGTCCGGAGCTTATTAACTGCGGGTTGCATTGCATTTGCGAGCAATGCAAATAAGCAAATTTGCAATCAAAAGAACGATTTTCATATTTAAGATGGCACAAACGCACACAGGCACATACACATACAAGGGGCTACAGGGAAATTCCGGGGGAAAAGGCAGCAAAATGGGAGCCTGCCTGTGAAATGGGGCGTGGCTGGAACAGAGGCATGCACTTAATTTGGCAATTGTCTCTGCACAAACACACACACACACAAGATATGTTTACGAGTGTGTATTGCCTGCATGTATTTATGTATGTTTGTCTGTCTGTCTGTCTCCGTTTATCTACAGTTCCTCCCACCACCCACCATAACCACCCACCCCCGACAACCAATGTGTACGCCTGCCTTTGTCATTAATATTAATTTCGTGTTTAATTTATTGTAATTTACGTGCATTTGATAAATCGTGTTATTATAATCAGTTGACTGGAAACGTGAAGAAAGGACAGGCCATGGAATACACTGAATGCCACTTAAACTAATCAAAAATGTACTATATTTTATATCAAAGAAATAAATATTTCAAGGAGTACCTACATTTATTTTTTGAAATTTAAAACTAGCTTTTTATAGAACTATTTATTTCTCATAGTTAAATTTCGATTTAAATTCTCTTTGATAAAATATCTTTTGAGAGTTCATTTTTAAATGGTTTAAATTATTATTTTTTTTTTTTGTAAAATATAACATTATGTTTATTTCAATCAACAAATTTCTTTACCTATTTTTCCCCGTGTAAGGTGGAAAAGGACAGGTAGCTTACAGGAGGATGGGTGTTCTATCTAAATGCCAATGACAGTTGTCTGGTCTCTAATCTTGGACGGACTTACCTTTATACCAAACTCCCAACTTGTAGCGAATATTGCGCGGGCTCCTTTAACGAGTTGAGGTTCTTTAAACCGTGCGAGTTATGAAAACTGCAATGAGAACGAAGAAGAAGAAGAAGAATTGGGTTAATTCCAGTAATTATGCATAGCAATCGATAGTGGGGTGTCTATATAGCTGGGGGTCTATTAAAAATCGGTTATGAACCGTTTTTGGTTTGAGTTCATATTGATTTCGAAAAGTTCGTAAATAAACGGAGAATTGATAGCCAATCTGTTGGGAAATTTGTGGCAATTCAAAAGGATATGAACTAGATAAAGTGATTAATAGCTGTGTAATGAATAATAGTAACTTGTTTTAAAATTTGTTTAAAGAACTACAAGTCCCTGGGCTAAGGAATTACCATTTCATACAACGTTCGATAGCAGCCAACTAATATTTATGAGAAGCGCATAGAAAGGACCAAAAAGCACTTGAGTGGCAAAGCGGTTTGCCGAGGGCAATGTCGGGGCAATAAACATTTTCCCTCTCGTGTGCGAATGTGGAAAGGAAGGAATGCTTGAGGACAAGTGTCGCATAAAGGAATTTCCCCCCTATTTTCCTTTTTCCCTTTCTTTTTTGTGCAGAATGCATTTTTATAACAAAATAATTATATTTATGCCACGGTCGCGAGGGGAGAATGTGCATTGGCCATTGCACAGAACGCATTCAAGTTGAAGTAATGCAAAAAGGGGAATCGCAAACCCGATTCCGATCCCCAAACCCCCTGAAAATCCACCCCCCACCCATTACCGATTCTTCCATTTCTGCACATAACGGCATCCATTACACGCAACAACAAAGCCAAAATGGCGTCTGGGGCGACAATGTGTTCGTGTGTGTGTGTGTGTGCGACGCTTTGTGTCTGTATTGTCGTTGAAATTATTTTTATTATTTTACACAATTTTTATATGGAAAGCCAAATGCTGCGATACACATACCCATACACCCACAAACCCGAGAAAGCGAAAAAAATGAACTTTTACAGTCGGGCATAAATATTTAGTATATTGTTCTTGTTGCTGCATGTTTATATATTGTTGTATTTAATGAGATTTTTGAACTTTTCCTTGCCATAAGCGCCTTAAGCGTTTACTCTCGCTCTGTGTGGAAAAAAAAAACACTTTACAGAAGCCACAAAATGGAAAGCAAAACAAGAACAGCATTCAAGAAGTTTTTCTTTTTGATGTCCTCAACTCCGCGGGGAGAGTGTGAAAATTAAATTTCCCGTAAACGTACGATATGTTGTAAATGCTTATTTGAAAAGCAATAAATACTTGTATTTCCGATGTGAATTTTATGGCGTGTAAGTCATGCGTTCACCCTTTTGTTTTTCCCAGATATTAATTTACATTAATTTTATTTTCAGAAATTAAAGCAAAAAATATAAAAACCTTCTTAATTCCACTTCACATATCTTAATCTCCAGCGTTTCACCTCTTAATATCTTAATTCCAGCCGAGATATGCCACTATCTCCACATCTAAATGACTTCAAATTGCATTATTACCATCCATAAATTCCCAAATCGAATTCCCATAATCATGAAATCAATTTATTGTCATCACATTTAAGGCCATTAGTTGGGGGCTCGATAAGATCTCTGATCTTAATCTCGAATGCATTTGTCATTGCCCAAAATCGAATCGAATCAGAGCAGATCGAAGACCAGTTTTTGGATCGAATCGTATCGATTGGGTCTTTGGATCTCTCATCTTGTGTGGGTTGTTGTGCAACCCACAAGCCGGATCGCATAAAATAATAATAATAATAAAGGAAAACCGGTGGCTGAGCCATAGCATAGCCAACAACTCCAACTCCAACGCATTCATTAGTTCTCATTAGGAGACAAAACATTTCGATTCGAAACTCGCATCCGAACGATAAACAAAACATTTTTCAACGGGGCCTTACCGGTTTTATTGGCGTCTCTAATGAACCTCTATTAATAAATATATAAAAGGAAAACTAAGCCTCACCAAAAAGTCTCCATTATGACATTCGTAAACCAAATATTGGGTGGTCGCAGTAGAAATCGAGTGATAAATATGGAATCGAGTGGGTGAAAAGGGTTGTGAAAATGTCATAATTAGCTTGCAAGTAATATATACCATTTCACGTATCGATTAAAATTCGCTTTTCCCATTAAAAAAAAAAAACAAAAAACACCCTCGAAGTTAGTTACAAAGTCAACCCAGTCAATTAAAGACCTACAAATGCATAATTTTCCATTTAGCCCATTTATGAATTATGCAGTTGAAAAAGGGGGGAAAAGGAATAAAATGGAAACTGGTTAAGGGAAAAGGGGATGTGGAAATGACATAAGCGTTTAAATATTTCAAAGGAGCGACGGGAAAAAGCTCTATAAAAACAAAACGAAGCCAAATATAAGACAAATGCAGGCCCGCGGCAAAGTTTGTGGGGTTACACACACACAAACCGTATACCATATACCATATAGAATATATAGAGGGGGCAACGCAAAGCAAACATGTGACATATGCGGCAATTAATGCCGTTAATTATTAAAGTTAACACCCAAAAGCGACATGCACAAGTCAAATAAATAAACACGCAGCAGGGAATGGAAGTCAATGGCTCTCGGCCAAAGCGAAAGCCCTATATAAACCCTATATAGGTACGTATGTATGCGAGCGAACCCCCTCAAAAACCCATAAAATGTCAGCCCCCTGAACAAACGCCCCAACAATTAAGGACAATGCGTACTAATTTCAAACGAAAACTTCAACGTGGCCAACTGAAAGCGAAGCGGAAAAGGAATCCCAAAAAAACACCAAGAAATTTAATCAGGAATACATAAATAAAATACCAAATTTGAAATACCCTGGATTCTATATAGTATATAGTATAGTACTTTATATTTAAGATAAATTGTTAACTTTAGCGCTAGGGAAATAAATATTAAAATAACACTAAGTCTATTACGTAATTTTAATTTTCAACCCCTTTTCAATATATATATTTTTTAATTATTATAATATTCGGAAACATTGGTCATACTTCAACAATAATCCTCACCATAATTCAATATAATTCCCAACCTATTTTGGCTTAGCCTTTCACCCACAAGTAATAATGCTTTTTATTTATAAACTGGCAAAAGGCGGGTTAAGGTGGCGCGAGGGAGGTGTGGGGCTTAACCCATGCGTGCCGCAAGATGAAGAAGAAGCTTGTTGGGGAAGGACAGTTGGCACATAAATAATTTATACACCCGTCCTGCTGACATAATTTTCCCCCCTTTTCGACCAAAAAATAAAAAAAAGTGAAAAGAGAAGGAAAAAACAAAATATAGAAGCAAAACGGGGACCAACAATTAGGGGCATGTTTTCCTGAGGATAAGGGGGTGGATTTTTAGTGGATCAAAATAAGGGGGGACTGGGGATTTAGGGGGCGTGCCGGTTGACAAGGGCAGTGCAATGCATAAGCAAACAAAACTTTGGCAATTTTGTGCAACTTTTTGGCTTCCACATTTTGTATAGAAAGCATTTTTTCCTCCCTTTGTGTGTTTGCCTGTGTATGTGTGTGTGTGTTTCGAGGAAATTATGTTTTTGAAAACAGGAAAGCCTTGGCAAGTTTTTTTTTTGGGGCCGAGGAAGAGGTAATTCCATTCTGGAATAAGCTTTGGGCTGGGTCAAATCGAGTTTAACTTTTTCATAGGCTCCAAAATCGAAACGATAAACTCTAAGTTGGTCTTTGGTTTTTTGAGAGGATTATAGGCATTTTACAAAATTTAGTATTTATATAAGAAATATTTCTATATTCAGTTATATTTTAACAATAATATTAAATGATTTTTATACCGGACTCAGTTTTTTATTCCCAATCCCCTGTAGTCATTTTCCCTCCAAGAATTTTTCCCACCCGCTGGGAACTGGAGTCTCTCAATTAAAGGAACGTTTTTCTTTATTTTTTTTGCACCGTTTCACATTATTTTCTTTATTTTTTGTGTGAAACGTTTGCCACTTAACGGGCACATAAAATGCCAATAAGGATCGCGGTTTTAAGGGGGTAAAAATGTGGGGACAATGACGATGAGCATATGATTTTCAATTTTTGCCACTAATCCAGACAGAAACACACGCCGAGTAAAAAACTTTGGGCCTTGTTCTCGACCAAAGTGACAATGGGAAATACACGGAAAATATTTCGACTATGTATTTATAAAAATATATAAAATAGCCAACAAAATAATTAAATAATATTAAAAATAATATTTGGTTTATAAAACTGCTGAAATTATACCAAAAAAAATTTGTTTTTTCATAAAAAAAAGCCCAATTGTGTGGATATATTTCTCAGTGCAGCTCAAACTTCGTGGCAACTCCTCCGACCGCCGCCACGCCCCCTTCGCTGCCCCCTTTGTGAACCGTTAAGCGCCATTAGGCGGCTGTGCAGACATTAAAACCAGCTGCCATCGTCTCCCGTTTTCCTGTTGTGGCAGTTTTTTTCTCCCTTCTTTTTTGAGGGAGTTTTTGGGGGGGAGGGGCGGGGGGGTTTGGAGCAACGGGGGGAGCGGCACAAAAATTGCCTGTTTATATTCGCAGCGACAGCAAATTTTATTATTATTTTTGTTCCTGACAACGACAACGGCAACACAGAGGAGCAGCAGGCACAACAACATAGTCAGCAAGGCAGGACACCGATTTTTGGGGGTTCCCCGAGACGGAAAGAGGTGGCGGAGGAGGGGGTGTGGCAGGAACATGTCCCGAAACTAAATACAGGGTGTGCCCATGGGGTGTATTAGCTGGGGGAAACTAAGAGAAAAAGTTTCACATTGCCTTGCAATTAATATCCGCTTAAAAAATATATATTTAAATTCCAATATTTATTTTTTGAGATTTTTTATTATTTTAATATTTTGAATATCACCTAAAAATATTTACTGGATATCACGCAAGTTTATTAGATAAGCCCAAAAACACCAAACTATTCCATTCCCATTTTATTTTTCCTTTTTGTTTTTCTGCAAATTTTGCATTTATATTTCCAGGAAAGCAAATCAAAATCAAAGTTATTTGTTGTTGTTTGTTGA